ACAGACCACACGAGTAGCTGCAGCGACGCCCATTACTGCTGTCCTTCTTTCCTCTCGATACGAGGACGAGTGGGGAAGCTAAAGATGGAGCCTGGCTGGCCGGGTGAGGAGAGAGAGCGTGCCTGGATACGGGGCGGGGAGAGAGAAATGGCGAAGAGATGAACCTGAGCCCCACGCTCGCTGGGATATCCGGAACGGTGGGCGAGGTCTACTTTTCTAGTATACGGAGATGCGCGGATAAATATAGCGCATGCGTAATGCGCTGAAGAACGTCTCTCGGATATTTACTTGGAATGAGCGGAGTACAAAAGTAAAAAATTCATGTACAAGCATGTCACACACTAAATGTGATTTTCATGTCAGACCATGTCAAAAAAGATGATAAAAAATAAGGAGTGATACAAAAATTGTAATTTACAAAAACATAATACATTGTCAACATGAAAAGTGAGGAGCACAATGCATCAAGATCTTAGTTGGTCCAGAGCAATTTGAATCTGGTCGGCCATAAGCTTCAGTTTGCTCTTCCTCAGAGTTGCTATGAGGCTCTCCCACGACACCTCCACCCCCTTCCCTGCCAGCCACTCCCTCAGAACCTCCATCGTCATCTTCTCCACTCTTCCCTGATGATTGCGTCTGATAATCTCCATCTTGTTCCCGAGACTGTCTTGGAGGAGAAATGTCCCGAAATCATCGATCTTGGGTGCAACTCGGGAACGTAAATTGATTTCAAGTAGTTGGAGGAGATCTGGTTTCTCAGCTGAGACTGTGGAGACAAAGGGAGCTGTTAGACTAGGTTCAATAGGTCGGCAACATGCTGGATAAGGTGTCAGGGTCCTGCATGGCCTATTTTTGTCTCAATATACTCCAACTCATAAAGGCAAATCTATCAAAGTCAGTCGGTTGGTTGATCACCTATGACTGCATTTGAAAAACGGAGGGAATCATTCTTAAGTGCAATTTGAGTATAGTTTTCTCTCTAAAAGTATTGACAATTTCTGTGAAAGATCAAAATACATACTTGATATAGGAGGAGCTGCGGTGGCTTTTTTTTGTCGTCTTGGCTTTGTCTTCTTTTCAGGACCTGCGAGGAGAAACAGTAGCTGTCACTGTAGCTGGAAGCATACTTGAATGAATCTCGGGGTGTAGCTAAACCTAAGGCAAGGTGAAACAAATCAACAACACCACTCTTTCAATGAGCTAAGACTCGAACCCAATGGCAAATGCTCCCTAGGCAGAATACCAGGGCTGCTAAGCAGGCAAGGCTAAATACCAACACAACACAAGGCAAAGGTAAACCTCTATGCTATGAAACCTGTCCCTCAGTATGACAAACGTACCTTTTGCAGGAGTGGTGAGCCACATCTTCTGGTCAGGAGTGAGAGGATGGGCCACGCAGTCTGGACTGAGGGAGCAGGTGAGAAAGCTGTGAGTGGTATTGAGTGTGGCAAGATGAGGGAAGGTGGAGCATAGAGAGCTCTGCTCAGGGCACAGGAAGGACAGTTCTGGTGTCCTCACCTCATAGTGGAGGGTTTGCATTGCGCTCTTCATTGCTTCGACAAACGTGTCGCGAATCTCCTTGTAGAGCACTGCGCTGTGCTGTGCAGCCACAGAGTGGAAGATCGACAGCTACCTCCAGGTAGGAGGAAAGGGGATCGAGGAAAGTCAGTTTCCCGGGAAGATTTCGAGGCAGTTCGAAAGTGATGCTGTTCCTAGCTACCTGAACTACCTCCCCATCCCTTGTCAACAGCTTCCAGCCAGCCGCAGTCAGCAGGTAGGAGATGGTGCAGCAGTAGATTCCAAGCATTGGGCTCTTCTTGGAGAAGTGGAGGACAAAGGAAGATCGGACGTTGCCTTTAGGAACTGGGGGAGATGGGAGGATGTCGCTGACCTCCAGAACACAAGGCATGAGGTACTCCCCTGGCCCTACCTCTGTGACTATGAAAAGCGACTTGAGAACCTTCGGCAGGTCCTCTGGTACGAAATACTTGCTGCTGTAGTGCTTGGAGCAGGCTTTTGACTGGAGGATGTCCAGCGATAGGATTCCCTGCTGATGGAACTTTCGGTCGACCCCAGTGCTAAACCGATCCCTTTCTTCAGCTCTAGGCTGTAGGTGACAAGCTCAGTGATCTTGTCCAGGATCACCTGACAACTGGCAAAGACGACATTGGGCAGGAGCATCGTAGAACGATAGGATGTGGAGCTCACGCAAGTAGTTGAGGCACGCCTTCAGGGATGGGGGATCGAAGCCAAGCTTGGAGCCAATGAACTCGCACTCCTGCAGACTCAGAATCTGACGGTTGAGCTGCTCCATCATTTTGCGAAGAGCTACTTCGAACCCACACCACTTGAGAGGCAGGTTTCTGGGCTTGACTCGAGACTGGCTCATGAGTGCATCCTTCAGCTGTCCCGCTGTTTCGTAATCCTTTTCTGTCGGTGTTCTGGTATTGACCCTGAATGTAACGTGTCGCAGAGACCCACTGCTAATGACGCATTGTTGCATGTCCTTCGAGAGGATCTCGGTGATCATGGAGTGCAGCCGCTCGTCCTTCTGGTCGGGAGTTTCTTCAGGACAGGCGTCCTTCTGATCAAGAAATGTGCCCACAAACACGAGATTGGGCATTTCCTCCGTCCCTTTCTGGCTAACCTCTGACTGGCCTAGATGAACCTGAGCCCCACGCTCGCTGGGATATCCGGAACGGTGGGCGAGGTCTACTTTTCTAGTATACGGAGATGCGCGGATAAATATAGCGCATGCGTTATGTTAATGAGAACGTCTCTCGGATATTTACTTGGAATGAGCGGAGTACAAAAGTAAAAAATTCATGTACAAGCATGTCACACACTAAATGTGATTTTCATGTCAGACCATGTCAAAAAAGATGATAAAAAATAAGGAGTGATACAAAAATTGTAATTTACAAAAACATAATACATTGTCAACATGAAAAGTGAGGAGCACAATGCATCAAGATCTTAGTTGGTCCAGAGCAATTTGAATCTGGTCGGCCATAAGCTTCAGTTTGCTCTTCCTCAGAGTTGCTATGAGGCTCTCCCACGACACCTCCACCCCCTTCCCTGCCAGCCACTCCCTCAGAACCTCCATCGTCATCTCCTCCAGTCTTCCCTGATGATTTCCTCTGATAATCTCCATCTTGTTCCCGAGGTCGTCTTGGAGGAGAAATGTCCCGAAATCATTGATCTTGGGTGCAACTCGGGAACGTAAATCGATTTCAAGCAGTTGGGGGAGATTCGGTTTCTCAGCTGAGACTGTGGAGACAAAGGGAGTTGTTAGACTAGGTTCAATAGGTTGGCAACATGCTGCATAAGGTGTCAGGGTCCTGCATGGCCTATTTTTGTCGCAATATGTTCCAACTCATAAAGGCAAATCTATCAAAGTCAGTCGGTTGGTTGATCACCTATGACTGCATTTGAAAAACGGAGGGAATCATTCTTAAGTGCAATTTGAGTATAGTTTTCTCTCTAAAAGTATTGACAATTTCTGTGACAGATCAAAATACATACTTGATATAGGAGGAGCTGCAGTGGTTTTTTTCTGTCGTCTTGGTTTTGTCTTCTTTTCAGGACCTGCGAGGAGAAACAGTAGCTGTCACTGTAGCTGGAAGCATACTTGAATGAATCTCGGGGTGTAGCTAAACCTAAGGCAAGGTGAAACAAATCAACAACACCACTCTTTCAATGAGCTGGGACTCGAACCCAATAGCAAATGCTCCCTAGGCAGAATACCAGGGCTGCTAAGCAGGCAAGGCTAAATACCAACACAACACAAGGCAAAGGCAAACCTCTATGCTATGAAACCTGTCTCTCAGTATGACAAACGTACCTTTTGCAGGAGTGGTGAGCCACATCTTCTGGTCAGGAGTGAGAGGATGGGCCACGCAGTCTGGACTGAGGGAGCAGGTGAGAAAGCTGTGAGTGGTATTGAGTGTGGCAAGATGAGGGAAGGCGGAGCATAGAGAGCTCTGCTCAGGGCACAGGAAGGACAGTTCTGGTGTCCTCACCTCATAGTGGAGGGTTTGCATTGCGCTCTTCATTGCTTCGACAAACGTGCTCGCGAATCTCCTTGTAGAGCACTGCGCTGTGCTGTGCAGCCACAGAGTGGAAGATCGACAGCTACCTCCAGGTAGGAGGAAAGGGGATCGAGGAAAGTCAGTTTCCCGGGAAGATTTTGAGGCAGTTCGAAAGTGATGCTGTTCCTAGCTACCTGAACTACCTCTCCCATCCCTTGTCAACAGCTTCCAGCCAGCCGCAGTCAGCAGGTAGGAGATGGTGCAGCAGTAGATTCCAAGCATTGGGCTCTTCTTGGAGAAGTGGAGGACAAAGGAAGATCGGACGTTGCCTTTAGGAACTGGGGGAGATGGGAGGATGTCGTTGACCTCCAGAACACAAGGCATGAGGTACTCCCCGGGCCCTACCTCTGTGACTATGAAAAGCGACTTGAGAACCTTCGGCAGGTCCTCTGGTACGAAATACTTGCTACTGTAGTGCTTGGAGCAGGCTTTTGACTGGAGGATGTCCAGCGATAGGATTCCCTGCTGATGGAACTTTCGGTCGACCCCAGTGCTAAACCGATCCCCTTTCTTCAGCTCTAGGCTGTAGGTGACAAGCTCAGTGATCTTGTCCAGGATCACCTGACAACTGGCAAAGATGACATTGGGCAGGACATCGTAGAACGATAGAATGTGGAGCTCACGCAAGTAGTTGAGGCACGCCTTCAGGGATGGGGGATCGAAGCCAAGCTTGGAGCCAATGAACTCGCACTCCTGCAGACTCAGAATCTGACGGTTGAGCTGCTCCATCATTTTGCGAAGAGCTACTTCGAACCCACACCACTTGAGAGGCAGGTTTCTGGGCTTGACTCGAGACTGGCTCATGAGTGCATCCTTCAGCTGTCCCGCTGTTTCGTAATCCTTTTCTGTCGGTGTTCTGGTATTGACCCTGAATGTAACGTGTCGCAGAGACCCACTGCTAATGACGCATTGCTGCATGTCCTTCGAGAGGATCTCGGTGATCATGGAGTACAGCCGCTCGTCCTTCTGGTCGGGAGTTTCTTCAGGGCAGGCGTCCTGCTGATCAAGAAATGTGCCCACAAACGCGAGATTAGCCATTTCCTCCGTCCCTTTCTGGCTAACCTCCGACTGGATGGCAAGGAGATTGTGACGGATCACTTGCTCATTGGTGAGGTACGACATGTAAGGATCATTGGCCTGTACCCCATCCTTGTAGAGCACCACCTCTCCGTGAACAGCAAGAGGCTCAGAGAGCTTGAAGACTGAGATGATGCCCTGTGACAGCTGGCAAGACAATGGATGCGATCTCGTGGAACTGTGGCTGGCCTCCCGAGTCAAGCAGGCGGATGGAGTAGTAGAGAAGCAGTTCGGCCAAATCACGCGGATCACGGATGATGTCCTGGAGACCTTTGTTGAAACGAGCAAACAGACCCTCAATATCCTCGGGGTCATCTCCCAGTGTGGTGGCCAGGGAGGGCTCAGCCTCAGCAAAGACTTCCGGAGCCTCGGGGGTTGCAGCCTGGTGTGATCTCTTCACCAATTTGCTCAGCCCAGCAAAGAGCTTGGAGGCTATCTTTGCCAACTTGCTCTTCTTTGGTGGTGTTGGTGGTGGTTGTTGTGCTGCCGTTTTGTTGTAATTCGGGAGGAGAAGCAAGGAAAGCTTCGACTTGCCCCTCATTTTCGGCTGATTCGTATTCTTCTATTCTCTGAACACCTTCACTAGTGAGAAGGTGTCGACTGGTGTGGGCAACCATGCGTGCCTGACGGTCGATGTCCACCAGTTCCCACTGACCAGTGAAGGTTGAGGTTGACACATCTCGGACGGGACAGAGGTGGAGGGACTCTTCCGCGACTGCAGTGCTGACACGAGCGAGATCTCTCTGTTTCCCGAGGAACATGGAAATGAGACTTGACTTGCCCACCCCTCCTGGTCCGTGAATAAGGAACAGGTCGTCTTTGTGGGGAATGTAGCCATCCTTCATGGCTTCTCTCAAGTAGTAAGCTGGTGATGCTGTGCATTAAATAACACATATGCAATCTATTTGCAAGTGTGCCCTGCCACCTAAAGTACAACAGTCTATACTTGCCATATACAGAAGGCAGAAGGCAGGGGTAAGCAACACACTGTGAGGTCACATAATTTTTCACCAAGTTGCATAGCTTATGCCCTATGTGTGTTAAGAATGTAGTAATTACCCCTCAGCGCGCATGCGCAGCGAGGGTTACAGTAGTCGTTTGTCTGTCTGTCTGTCTGTCTGTCTGTGTGTCGACGCTTATTCTGGCACTACAGGCTACGAGGTGGCCAATGAGCGATACCAACGACTTCAGAACTACGCGAACCTCAAAATTAATTAGGCGATTTTCCTGAAACGACTGTGTTCGAGAGAAGTGAAAACAATCGAAAAAGCTAATATGCATAATCACACAGGCTTACCTCGAACTGATCTGCCTACTCCGCGTACCTTGGAGGCACAATAAGTCACAACTAATGGCGCGTATCGACTCCCGCATGCAATCTACTAGTGTAGCTAGCCAGTGTCAGACTCTCCGCGAGCTACTAGCGGGAGATCACGAGTTGCATAGCCTACAAGTAAATTAAAAATCCTGCGAATAAAAAAAAAAGGGATGGTATAAAAAGAATGGGAGACAAGATAGGGATGGGATAGGTTAATGAACAGATTTGAGCACACTGACACCCTGACCCCATCACACAATCCCTATATTGTTGCCTGGTGTGCCACTCCATTTTTACTCTTAGCAGGAATATTTTCGTATTTTCAAGCTAGATATTGTGAAGTTACAACAGAGGGCATGTATCGACTCCCGCATGCAATCTACTAGTGTAGGTAGCCCGTGTCAGACTCTCTGCGAGTTACACCGCGAGAAACTCCAGCCCATCAATTAGTGATATCGCGCTTGCGTAGTGCGCCGAGGGGTTTCCACTTTAGTGCTTTTCATTGATGTAGGCAAAAAAACACTACACGAATTTAACACCATACATGTGTACCACAAGCTTTTGTTTTTGTGAATGTGGTTTACAAATACCTAATTTAAAGAGGATCAACTTACAATTAACTACTAATATGTATGTCACCTGACAACTGGCAAAGATGACATTGGGCAGGACATCGTAGAACGATAGAATGTGGAGCTCACGCAAGTAGTTGAGGCACGCCTTCAGGGATGGGGGATCGAAGCCAAGCTTGGAGCCAATGAACTCGCACTCCTGCAGACTCAGAATCTGACGGTTGAGCTGCTCCATCATTTTGCGAAGAACTACTTCGAACCCACACCACTTGAGAGGCAGGTTTCTGGGCTTGACTCGAGACTGGCTCATGAGTGCATCCTTCAGCTGTCCCGCTGTTTCGTAATCCTTTTCTGTCGGTGTTCTGGTATTGACCCTGAATGTAACGTGTCGCAGAGACCCACTGCTAATGACGCATTGCTGCATGTCCTTCGAGAGGATCTCGGTGATCATGGAGTACAGCCGCTCGTCCTTCTGGTCGGGAGTTTCTTCAGGACAGGCGTCCTTCTGATCAAGAAATGTGCCCACAAACACGAGATTGGGCATTTCCTCCGTCCCTTTCTGGCTAACCTCTGACTGGCCTAGATGAACCTGAGCCCCACGCTCGCTGGGATATCCGGAACGGTGGGCGAGGTCTACTTTTCTAGTATACGGAGATGCGCGGATAAATATAGCGCATGCGTTATGTTAATGAGAACGTCTCTCGGATATTTACTTGGAATGAGCGGAGTACAAAAGTAAAAAATTCATGTACAAGCATGTCACACACTAAATGTGATTTTCATGTCAGACCATGTCAAAAAAGATGATAAAAAATAAGGAGTGATACAAAAATTGTAATTTACAAAAACATAATACATTGTCAACATGAAAAGTGAGGAGCACAATGCATCAAGATCTTAGTTGGTCCAGAGCAATTTGAATCTGGTCGGCCATAAGCTTCAGTTTGCTCTTCCTCAGAGTTGCTATGAGGCTCTCCCACGACACCTCCACCCCCTTCCCTGCCAGCCACTCCCTCAGAACCTCCATCGTCATCTCCTCCAGTCTTCCCTGATGATTGCCTCTGATAATCTCCATCCTGTTCCCGAGGTCGTCTTGGAGGAGAAATGTCCCGAAATCATTGATCTTGGGTGCAACTCGGGAACGTAAATCGATTTCAAGCAGTTGGGGGAGACTTGGTTTCTCAGCTGAGACTGTGGAGACAAAGTGAGTTGTTAGACTAGGTTCAATAGGTTGGCAACATGCTGGATAAGGTGTCAGGGTCCTGCATGGCCTATTTTTGTCTCAATATACTCCAACTCATAAAGGCAAATCTATCAAAGTCAGTCGGTTGGTTGATCACCTATGACTGCATTTGAAAAACGGAGGGAATCATTCTTAAGTGCAATTTGAGTATAGTTTTCTCTCTAAAAGTATTGACAATTTCTGTGAAAGATCAAAATACATACTTGATATAGGAGGAGCTGCGGTGGCTTTTTTTTGTCGTCTTGGCTTTGTCTTCTTTTCAGGACCTGCGAGGAGAAACAGTAGCTGTCACTGTAGCTGGAAGCATACTTGAATGAATCTCGGGGTGTAGCTAAACCTAAGGCAAGGTGAAACAAATCAACAACACCACTCTTTCAATGAGCTAAGACTCGAACCCAATGGCAAATGCTCCCTAGGCAGAATACCAGGGCTGCTAAGCAGGCAAGGCTAAATACCAACACAACACAAGGCAAAGGTAAACCTCTATGCTATGAAACCTGTCTCTCAGTATGACAAACGTACCTTTTGCAGGAGTGGTGAGCCACATCTTCTGGTCAGGAGTGAGAGGATGGGCCACGCAGTCTGGACTGAGGGAGCAGGTGAGAAAGCTGTGAGTGGTATTGAGTGTGGCAAGATGAGGGAAGGTGGAGCATAGAGAGCTCTGCTCAGGGCACAGGAAGGACAGTTCTGGTGTCCTCACCTCATAGTGGAGGGTTTTCATTGCGCTCTTCATTGCTTCGACAAACGTGCCGTGAATCTCCTTGTAGAGCACTGCGCTGTGCTGTGCAGCCACAGCAGCTGGAAGATCGACAGCTACCTCCAGGTAGGAGGAAAGGGGATCGAGGAAAGTCAGTTTCCCGGGAAGATTTTGAGGCAGTTCGAAAGTGATGCTGTTCCTAGCTACCTGAACTACCTCCCCATCCCTTGTCAACAGCTTCCAGCCAGCCGCAGTCAGCAGGTAGGAGATGGTGCAGCAGTAGATTCCAAGCATTGGGCTCTTCTTGGAGAAGTGGAGGACAAAGGAAGATCGGACGTTGCCTTTAGGAACTGGGGGAGATGGGAGGATGTCGTTGACCTCCAGAACACAAGGCATGAGGTACTCCCCTGGCCCTACCTCTGTGACTATGAAAAGCGACTTGAGAACCTTCGGCAGGTCCTCTGGTACGAAATACTTGCTACTGTAGTGCTTGGAGCAGGCTTTTGACTGGAGGATGTCCAGGCGATAGGATTCCCTGCTGGTGGAACTTTCGGTCGACCCCAGTGCTAAACCGATCCCCTTTCTTCAGCTCTAGGCTGTAGGTGACAAGCTCAGTGATCTTGTCCAGGATCACCTGGCAACTGCCAAAGATGACATTGGGCAGGGCATCGTAGAACGATAGGATGTGGAGCTCACGCAAGTAGTTGAGGCACGCCTTCAGGGATGGGGGATCGAAGCCAAGCTTGGAGCCAATGAACTCGCACTCCTGCAGACTCAGAATCTGACGGTTGAGCTGCTCCATCATTTTGCGAAGAGCTACTTCGAACCCACACCACTTGAGAGGCAGGTTTCTGGGCTTGACTCGAGACTGGCTCATGAGTGCATCCTTCAGCTGTCCCGCTGTTTTGTAATCCTTTTCTGTCGGTGTTCTAGTATTGACCCTGAATGTACGTGTCGCAGAGACCCACTGCTAATGACGCATTGCTGCATGTCCTTCGAGAGGATCTCGGTGATCATGGAGTGCAGCCGCTCGTCCTTCTGGTCGGGAGTTTCTTCAGGACAGGCGTCTTGCTTATCAAGGAATGTGCCAACGAACGCGAGATTGGCCATTTCCTCCGTCCCTTTCTGGCTAACCTCCGACTGGATGGCAAGGAGATCGTGACGGATCACTTGCTCATTGGTGAGGTACGACTGTAAGGATCGTTGGCCTGTACCCCATCCTTGTAGAACACCACCTCTCCGTGAACAGCAAGAGGCTCAGAGAGCTTGAAGACTGAGATGATGCCCGTGACAGCTGGCAAGACAATGGATGCGATCTCGTGGAACTGTGGCTGGCCTCCCGAGTCAAGCAGGCGGATGGAGTAGTAGAGAAGCAGTTCGGCCAAATCACGCGGATCACGGATGATGTCCTGGAGACCTTCGTTGAAACGAGCAAACAGACCCTCAATATTGTCGGTGTCATCTCCCAGTGTGGTGGCCAGGGAGGGTCAGCCTCAGCAAGACTTCGAGCCTCGGGGGTGCAGCCTGGTGTGATCTCTTTCACCAATTTGCTCAGCCCAGCAAAGAGCTTGGAGGCTATCTTGGCAAACTCGCTCTTCTTTGGTGGTGTGTGGTGGTGGTTCTTGTGCTGGTGTTTGTTGTAGTAATTCGGGAGGAGAAGCAAGGAAAGCTTCGACTTGCCCCTCATTTCGGCTGATTCGTATTCTTCTATTCTCTGAACACCTTCACTAGTGAGAAGGTGTCGACTGGTGTGGGCAACCATGCGTGCCTGACGGTCGATGTCCACCAGTTCCCACTGACCAGTGAAGGTTGAGGTTGACACATCTCGGACGGGACAGAGGTGGAGGGACTCTTCCGCGACTGCAGTGCTGACACGAGCCAGATCTCTCTGTTTCCCGAGGAACATGGAAATGAGACTTGACTTGCCCACCCCTCCTGGTCCGTTAATAAGGAACAGGTCGTCTTTGTGGGGAATGTAGCCATCCTTCATGGCTTCTCTCAAGTAGTAAGCTGGTGATGCTGTGCATTAAATAACACATATGCTATTAGCAAGTGTGCCCTGCCACCTAAAGTACAACAGTCTATACTTGCCATATACAGAAGGCAGAAGGCAGGGGTAAGCAACACACTGTGAGGTCACATAATTTTTCACCAAGTTGCATAGCTTATGCCCTATGTGTGTTAAGAATGTAGTAATTAACCCCTCAGCGCGCATGCGCAGCGAGGGTTACATAGTTGTTTTGTCTGTCTGTCTGTCTGTCTGTGTGTCGACGCTTATTCTGGCACTACAGGCTACGAGGTGGCCAATGAGCGATACCAACGACTTCAGAACTATGCGAACCTCAAAATTAATTAGGCGATTTTCCAGAAACGACTGTTTTCGAGAGAAGTGAAAACAATCGAAAAAGCTAATGTGCATAATCACACAGGCTTACCTCGAACTGATCTGCCTACTCCGCGTACCTTGGAGGCACAATAAGTCACAACTAATGGCGCGTATCGACTCCCGCATGCAATCTACTAGTGTAGCTAGCCCGTGTCAGACTCTCCGCGAGCTACTAGCGGGAGATCACGAGTTGCATAGCCTACAAGTAAATTAAAAATCCTGCGAATAAAAAAAAAGGGATGGTATAAAAAGAATGGGAGACAAGATAGGGATGGGATAGGTTAATGAACAGACTTGAGCACACTGACACCCTGACCCCATCACACAATCCCTATATTGTTGCCTGGTGTGCCACTCCATTTTTACTCTTAGCATGAAAATTTAGTATTTTCAAGCTAGATATTGTGTAATATTGAATGTTTAATACTTCACCTAGGCAACAATAATATAGGGATTGTGTGATGGGGTTGGGGGTGTCAGCGTACTCAAATCTGTTCATTAACCATGCTTCTGTATCCCATCCTACCTGTCTCCCTTTCTTTTATACCGCCATCCTATCTAATACAGTAAATAAAAAATCCTACGATTTAGAGGCATATAGGGTTCGTATAAAAGAAGGGAGATAAGATAGGGATGGATACATGAACATGTACTGAATAGATTTGAGTACGCTGCCACACCCCCAACTCACACCACCCTATATTGTGCCTGGTGTGCTACTCTTATAGGGCTACAGGTTACTAAAAGCAAGCATGTCTTTCACGTGTCCTGTTGTTTTAGTCACATTTTATACTGCAATTAAACTCCACTTGGACTCTATAATGGTGTTGGTTACTCAGTTAGTGTATTGTAAGTTCTGCATATTGTAATGGTGAAATGTTTAATACTTCACCTAGGCAGATGGGGTTGGGGTGGTCGGTTCAGCGGACTCAAATCTGTTCATGTGAAACGATCGCTTCATGATTGCTCTCCCTTTCTTTTTGATACGATCCCTATATGCCGCCCTCTTTGTTAATTCGCAGGATTTTTAATTTACTGTCTCCACTCATTTTTTATATACTACTACGTATGTATCTCTGTGGAAGGGGCAATTAATTATAGAGAAAAAATGCTGTTGTCGTGATGGAAATGATATGCATACCAGTTTCATCTCCATGTGTCTGGCGTGAGCAAGTTTGAGGATTAAAGAAGTTATTTTAGAAAGTGCCTGAGGCTATTTGTGTTGTGGTCGTCATAGAAACGATGTTATACACATGCGTACCAAGTTCATCTCTCCATCCGTGGCACCGTTAGCGAGTTTGAGGAGTGAAGAGTAATTTTAAAGGAAAGTGCCTGAGGCTATTTGTTGTTGTGGTCGTCATGGAACCGAGTATAATACACATGCGCACCAAGTTTCACCTCCATGCGTGCTACAATTAGCAAGTTTGAGGAGTGAAGAAGTGATTTTAAAGAAAATTCCCTGAAAACATGTAATCGTCATGGAAATGACATAATAGGCATACGTACCAAGTTTCATCTAGATGCGTGCTACCATTGGAAAGTTTGAGGAGTGAAAATAAAAGTGCCTGAGGCTATTTGTTGTTGTTTACAAACATGTAATGTTGTAATTTTGATGTTTGTGATTGAATACATTATGTTTACAAAGTTTCGTTCACATAGCTCCTACCATATGTGAGTTATACTGACACATGTGATCCCATTATAATGTATTGCCTGGGGCTATTTGTTGTTGTTTACAAAGAAATAAGTATGACCAGTCTCTTCGGGTGACAGATATCTATATTCTTACAAAATTTCATTACTATGTTGTTTCGTTTTTGAGTTGTGGGTGTTGAATCTGAAGAAGAAGAAGAAGAAGGAGAAGAAGAAGATGAACAAAACTCCCTATCATAGCCCCATACATCTATGATGCTAGGTACCATGTCAATCCCTATATCACTAAGTACTACCGTATTTAGTGATATTGCCTCTTTTTTTCAATTCGCAGGATTTTTAATTTACTTGTCTCCACTCATTTTTATATGCTACTACGTATTATCTCTGTGGAAGGGCTTGCAATCTAGAAGTGTAGGTAGCCCGTGTCAGACTCTCCGCGAGTTACACACTTTAATTGATGTAGCGCAGCGAGGGTTACAGTACTTGGTTCGTAAGTGTGTCTGTCTGTCCGTCTGTCCGTCTGTCTGTTACCACGTTTTCTGCGACTATGCGCAACGAGACAACAAAATAGCGATACCAACGGGTTCATTGCTACACTGGCTTCATTTTTAAAAAGGCAATTTTCGTATAACTACTGGGTTCAAAAGTTACGGAGTGAAAAGCAAGTGAACAAGCCAATATGCAAATTAGCACAGGCTTAACTCGACCGCGTCCGTTTGCTCTATGCATCTTGAAGGCACAACAAGTCATAACGAAGGGCATATATCGACTCTCGCATGCTATCTACTACTTAAGCTAGTCCGTGTCAGACTCTCTGCGAGCTACTAGTGTGGAGACCACGAGTCAACGCATACTAAAAGCCCAGTCCATCAATTTAGCGGTACCGCGCATGCGCAGTTCACCGAGGGTTTGCACTTTAATTGATGTAGGCAAAAAACAGGAATTTAACACCATACATGTGTACCACAAGTTTTTGTTTTTGTGAATGCAGGTTACAAATACCTAAATTAAAGGGTTTACTGGAAAGTAGGCAAATGATGAAGAGGATCAACTTACAACTACTAATACCAACATGAAGACACGAAAGCCACACATTTTTGGCTAGCGAGCATGAGCAGTTTTTAACGTATGCATTTAGAATCACGTAAATACAACCTTACTGTATGTGCAGTGTCAGTCCCCGCACACACGCAGGATATCCCGCATTCTGAGGACTATAGGTAGGCTTGCTTCGGTCACAAATAATAGGACCACATGGATCACGTGATTAACTATCAGTGCATTTCTCCTGCACTAAAGCTCTGGGTGGTAACTGTATGAGTCGATGCTTATGGATAAACACGTCTAAAACAGTCCAACAAAAGTAGCAGACATTGGACCATGAGATGCAGCAGTGGAAATTCTTTTGCCTGACCTTCCCTTCTAAAAAAGTACTAGAATGCATGTTTCCCACATGTTATCATGCTGTACAAATCCTTTTAGTACCAATCCCAGTATACAGTATAGCCAAAAACACAGTTACATACAGACCATGCATACATGCACAAGACTCTCAGGATCCTGTTTCCTAGGAGACAATTACAGCTGCACACAACACCTACATGTCCTAGTACAATTATGAAATGGTGAAACAAACTACTCCAAATGTGCTTTAAAGTATGCAAGAATGTCGTAATGATGGTCTTATCCAAAACACCATCCTGGAACTTCACATCCATCGTGTGTATGACAATGTTTGCTTTTACTTCATTCATTGGAGTTTTTCTTTATTGAGAGGTATCATATATTTGAACCACACATGGAAGACACAAGTTTAGTTTTCAGCACTAGGAAGTTCTCTCTAAAGTACTCTGTCGTCCTGTCACCGGAAGAAAGAAAGCAGAAGAGCTGAACGGGGTGGTACATGACCACTACATCTCGATCTCTTCATACGTTGAGCGATGTCTCAACACTTATGTATTACCTTCAAGAATGTCCCTCACATGTCCGTTCCATCCCCCCTTCTCCCCCTCCTCTCCACTCTCCTCCTTCTCCCTCTCTGCCAAAAGGGCAAAGAAACAAATAATGTTACCCTCGCTGCACATGCAAAACCCACACACTGTACTTTACCTCATACACCATACATGTGTTTTGTTCGCATCGTGATAAAATACATACTAATTACATGTAATAAAAATACAAATGAAAAGCACTGAAGTGTCAAACGCCTCGCGCACTGTGACAGCTGCGCGCGCATATAAACACATGGCCTGCGCCGTACTACTAATGACTGGGCTTGCGGGCTGGTTTAAGTTTTTGAGCTGTTACTCGTGGTCTCTCTTGCAGACGCGCAGAGTGTGACGCGGCTAACTACACTACTACGATAGCATGCGAGAGGCGATACCCAACGCCCTGCGTGGCATCTTCATGGTGCCTCCGAGGTAAGACGCAGAGCACG